TCGATTTTTAATGTCGGTCCTCTTCAGTGATCAGTCATTAGAATAATATTCATATTTGTTTTTGTAAATCAATTGTTATTTCAGCTGCCAATGAGAAAACAGAAGCTAGTAATGAAGATGCCGATGAAAAAGACATTAAAATAGAGAAACAGGAAGTTAAAACAGAAGTAGAAGCAAAAAATAATAAAAAATCTACAATTGAACCAGAAACAGTAATCGATTTGGCTAGTGAAGATAAAGAGAAGGAACCTAGAGCTTTGCACAAAACTAGTAGCATCTTTCTTCGGAACTTGGCACCGACTATTACTAAGGCAGAAGTCGAAGCTGTTAGTTAAAATCTTCTTAGATAATAAATCTTGTAAAAGATTTTGTCAAATAATTGTAAAAATGTAAATTATTTAAAGAAAATCTTGTAAAAGATTTTGTTTAAATAATTTACATTTTTATTTTGAGCTATTTTTTTGCATTAATGATGATTACTGACATTTATAACATAATATAATTACATAATTATGTTTAACGAATAGATGTGCAAGCGATTTCCTGGATTCTTACGTGTGGCTATAGCAGATCCACAGCCGGAAAGACGATGGTTCCGTCGTGGTTGGGTTTCGTTCGAACGTCAAGTGAACATCAAAGAAATCTGCTGGAGTTTAAATAACATTCGAGTAAGTTGATTCGTACGTGCATTTGTTATTAAAAAAAAAAAAGAAATGAATATTTTTAATTGCTACATCTCTCACATAGCTTCGTGATTGTGAGCTTGGTGCAATAGTAAACAGAGATCTATCACGACGTATTCGATCAGTGAATGGTTTAACATCTCACAAGCAAATAGTTAGACATGATATTAAACTTAGTGCCAAAATTGTTCACAATTTGGATAATAAAGTGGGACTATGGAGGGAAGAAAAGAAAGATGAAAACACAAAACAGGAAGACGACAAAGAAAATAAGACCACTCAAAGTAGCAACGAGGTTGAGCAAGCTGTAAGTGAAATTTGCATTTATATATATTATATATAATAAATATAATATATAACGAAATCTTATAATGATAAACGAATATAATGATATAACGATAAACGAAATCTTGACTCACAATTATATGAAATTTTGCATGGCATTTTAGGCTTTCGGATTGTCATCTAAAAATCCAGTACTGAAAAACATAACAGACTACTTGATAGAAGAAGCTTCAGCTGAAGAAGAAGAATTATTAGGTATGTCAGGTGAACAAGAAGAAGGTCAGTTAGGTGGCGATGGAGATAGTTCAATCGAAAGAGATCCAGTTTTAATCAAGGTAAATTAAATAAACTTAAATAATATAGTGGAAGATCAAGCATAAATAATAATTTGATAAAGTAATATATCATATTTTATATTTATCAATAAAATATTATATATTATATTCATTTTCATAGGTATTAGACAAATTAGTTCTATACTTGCGGATTGTTCATTCCGTTGATTATTACAATCATTGCGAATATCCAAACGAGGATGAGATGCCAAATAGATGCGGAATAATGCATGTGAGAGGATGTCCACCCACCGCTAAAGTCTCAAGTTCAGAATTATCGGAATATTGTCGCAACTTTGAAAGCAAAATGTCTGCTTTTCTACAACCAATTGTTACTTTATCCAACGAAGATTTCGAGAAACTAGGCGCAAAAAATGCTGAAGCGTATCCTTTTCTTCTATGTGCTTTTAATTATTATTATTATATTTGAACATATTTAAACAATATAGAAACAATATAGAAAGCATGAATTTGAAAAATGACTTTCAAAATTCTAAGTGTTAACTTTACATATATCGACATTGATACATATATCATTTTTTCATCTCTTAAGAAAAAGAAAGATATAGGGGTAAATGCTGACGCATTATTAAGCCAATATTCAGAATTACAATCTTGAACACTGATTTAAATTAATCATCATTTTCTCAGATTTATACTTTTCGTCGTATTAAATAATATTTCTTTAATATATAAACAGTGAAGTCGAAAAGTTTGTTCAAGCTAACACCCAAGAATTATCGAAAGACAAATGGTTGTGCCCTCTTAGCGGAAAAAAATTTAAAGGACCTGATTTTATCCGTAAACATATCTTCAACAAGCATTCTGAGAAAGTTGCCGAAGTGAAAGCGGAAGCTGAGTACTTCAACAATTATTTAAAAGATCCAAAAAGACCTCAGCTTCCTGAGCATCCTGGCAACAAAGCTCCACTAAGAGAAGGATCACGGGACAATTTTGCGCCATATGGTTGCAATTCGTAAGTAGTACAAGAGAGTTACTGGTAATTAAAAATACTTACGAAATAAATGCTATTATTATGATGTGTGTGTGCGTGTGTGCGTGCGTGTGTAGTGTATATAGTATAAAAATGCGATTTCATCTACATTTTGTGAAATACTATCAATGATAACATTGAAATAACATGAAATAACGTCATTAAGGTACTCAACGCAAACATCCACAAATATTTCTAGATTCGGAAGTTACAATAGTGGATTTGGCGGTAACAGAAGCAATTTTGGTTCTGGTTATGGTGGCGGATTTGGATTTAGTGCTCCACGTTCTAATCGTGGCGGATTTAATCGTGGACGGTAAGAAATACTTTTTTATGTTTCAATGGAATTAATAAAATCTACAGTTAAATACTTTGAGATAATCGCATGATTTATAGAAAGATTACACGATTAACATTCAATTTTCTTTGGTGTAAGTTATATTGAATTGAAACAAGATTCAAGATTCGGTAATATAACTTTGGCCCCTTCGAATTGATATATTGAACATGGTAATACAATGTTTTACAGGCCCGCTCCGGATTCTACCTCGAGACCTATTATTAGTTATAATGACTTGGATCAGCCGGACATGGACTTGTTTTAAGTTTTATCTCACAAATAATTTCATCACGAGATTAAGCTAATTATAAAAATGTTAATACTATCTCTATGTACTCGATTAGGTAACACACCGTTTAAAAAAAAAAGAAATAACAAAATGCAAAAAATTATATTACAAAATTAGCACAATTTTTTAAATGTTATTTATAATATCAAATTTATTTAATGCGCATCAAGATCCGATATTATATATTTAGAAACAAACGGAAAAAGAAATCTATTGTGCATGCCTATATAACCAATATATACTAAATATATCCAATATATACACCTTAATAGGATGCGTTTTTAATTAAACATACATTTTCAGAAATAAATATAAAACCCAAAATAAAAAAAATATATGATTAAGAACTATTTTTTTTATTTATTACAGAAAACATGCATCTCTGGTGCATTTTTTTTTTACTTATAATTAAATAAATAAAGCCTAAACGACTTATGACATTTTGGGTTTTATAATATTTCTTGATTAATATGTAATAAAAAAATCATCCTGTACAGAAAAAAATTTACTTTATTTTTTTTATTAAAGTTTTAAAATTATAAGTACTTATTATTTATTATAAGTAAAAATTATAAGTATAAACTTTTATACAGTCCCATCTAAAATTAATGCAAGGATCTATTGATGCTGCAAATTTATAACAAATAAACCTATCTGTGTGTTACTCTAATGATTTGTTATTTTATTTTGTCCCATTTCCGTTTAAACCCTATGTCCGGGTGGTCTTATGTCATGGAAAATTTTGACGTTATATGTCAGTTTATTATAACATTGTAGTATAAAGAAGGGAAAAAAATATGAATTTTTAATTATTATTTTTAATAATATATGCAATTTTTCAATCAACTTTATTGTATAGCTGCCACATATAAGAAAATTTTAATTTTTATGTACATACATCTTCCATACATATAAATACACGCATACAGTATAGTAGAATTAAAAACAAATTTACATATACTTTTTAAGAATTGTTTTATTTATGTATTTTATTATATATATATTTATTTTGTATGTTAGTTTTGTATATATATGTTGTATGCAATAATATTGATTTTTATCGTTTTTTTCTAATATTTAATATTGCAGTGGTGATTTTCGACCAGTCATACATTATCGAGATCTTGATGCTCCACGGGAACCAGACGAATTCCTATAGGATGATTAAAAGAGATGTACTGACCGATACAAAAATATATAGACGCTGCTTAGAATCACTTAAAACAATGTTTTTCTGTAAGCCATTCACAAGTGTGTACATTGCATACCTGTGTACATATATATATCTACAATTATTAATCACTTTCTGAAATAAAATTAGTTATAGTAAACAAACATATAAATATTCAATATTTTGTTTAAAAAAGAGGCTTATGAAAGAAGAAAATGTATTACACATAGTTTATATATAAAAGAATAAAATTCGAAACAATAATCAAATTGAGTGAATGTAAATCCAAATCAAACTTAGATATGGAATTTATAAATGATTCATGACTATATTCGTATGAAAATCTTAAGTTATAATTAGGTCTTGTCAAATTTTTATTCATAAATCGTCATTCAGTCTCTCAATATTTGTCAGTGAAACGATTTTTCGAGATAATTAAGAGAATTGTGAATCAATTCGCATACAGAGTTACACTATACAGATAGCAGATCATGAATCATGAACAGTAATGAGAATCCTTTCTGCTGACCAACAAATTTCTGTTATTTTTCGTATGAATCACGAATTATGTGTAACATCTGACATTATCTTAGTATAAAATACATGATATACTTAAGAGAATTTTACAAGGTTTTTCAAGTAATAAGTAGATTTAGATAACAAAATGTATGCAATATTAAATCATTTGTGTTGATACAATATATTCTGCATAAAATTAATAATTTTTCTTTTTGTGAATAAAATTAATTTACATAATCATATGTATAGTGTTCTTTTATAACATATGTATGTCTTAATAGTTACATAATAAAATCACAATAATTCGCCAATGTATTATTCCTTTACAATTGTTGAGGTAAAGGAGCAAAAAGCGAAAGGATATGTAGCACTAGATTCAATAAATAAACCGATTTAATATATATATTTTTGTCTCATATTTCTCTATACAACACGCTATATACATTACGTACATTTATTTGTATAAAATACTGCATTTGATCTCTCTCTGATTGGCAATGTTTTCCTTCATGTGTAAATACTAAATAAACCGGTCTTTGCAGTGTATCTCATCCGAGCCATCTCCGCAATCGTCAAACCCATTGCACTTCATTCTTTTCGCAATACATCTACTATTTCTGTACAATAGAAAAATTTTACATGTATAAAAAAACAACAATATATTTGAATTAAATTTTGCAAATTTTTTCTGTTCTCTTTGTAAAAACGTTCTTATTTTTTTCCAAGATCTAAAAATATATGATGTGCCGAATTAAAAAATTCGATTCCTTTCGACAAAAATCGAAATATATTTAAAAATATTAAAATATTAAAATATTCAACACATTCAATGATACAGTTACAACAATTATTATTTCACAGAAAAAATTAAAATTCATTATTTAATACTCCATATATATATATATATATATATATATATATATATATAAGAATAAAAAAGAATGTAAATAAAAAAGAATTTAAAAAGAGAAATTTAATTTAACGAAAAGAAAAAAACTATTCTAAGATATCGTTTTAATGAAAATGTTTTTTTAATTATTACATCTCTCTTTCTCTCTACCTTTTATACACAGAGAAAATTTAAATTATTGACTTACTGGCATGTAAATTCATGTTTATTGCATCGCCCTTGGCATCCATGAGGTTCATCTGTTCCATCGCTACAGTCTGCCAACCCATCACAAAACCGATCTCTCTGTATACATTCCCCATTGATACAAGTAAATTCGGCTTCCAATGAGCAAACTGAATCGAGAATAAAAATTATTATTTAAACCAGTTTTTTTTTCGGCAATTTGCCTTTGTTCAATAACTCGAAATAAGAGATTTTTAATTTTAAATCTGCTGGAATATTTAAGCTACTCTTTTAGAAAATCAACTGTCTTTTTTAAATATTTAACAAATGAATTATAAATTTGTATATTTAATTATTTTCATATTTATACAGGAAACTCAACTGTATTCTACGAGTTTTTTTTCTAGAATATTCGAATCCCAGATGTATATAATAAGTAATAAATATAAATACATTCTTTGAATAAAAAAATGAGTTAGTTTGTAGGTATATCAAAATCTAACGTTAATATTATGCGAGAAACCATATAAACAATTTCACCGTTCTATTAATGAAATTGTGCATTATTAAGAATTCAGCGTGCAGAAATTATACAAAATATACATGCATTTCAAATATAAATATGTACTCACACCAACCAAGATCATGACCTATAAAAGAAACAAAGAAAAAAAGGTATAAAAAGGATCTTCATCAAGCGATGTAAAAGGAGAACTACTAGAGAATAATTTTTCTGTTTTAATTTTGTACAAAATTGTCCTTTTTTGTCCTATCTTCTTTTTGTCTGTATTTTGTAAAAACATTAAAATGTCTTGGAGATATGCCCAAAGAGTGTTTGAGAAGTGCTCAAGAACAAAATATAAAGTAAATCCTTATTGCAAATAATATTTTGAAAAGAAAAACGATAATATTTTTATCACGGCATCTACCAGTTTGCTGCAACAAAACTTAAACAAGTGCGACTAAAGGAATACTTAATAAATATAAGGCACCGTATTGCTTGATGAATTTTTTAAATTTTAGATTGCGATCACAATTTATGTCCCTATAAACAATCTTAAAAAAATTGCTCTTTTATCATATACATGTAGCGTAACGTTTTTGTTTGTACATTTCATTTGAATATTATGACATCTCAGACTATCATTATCAGACTATCGTAATAAAACGCTGGAATGCTCACCTAACGTGCAATTAATCTCGTCAGTTGCGTCCCAGCAATCTATCTTTCTGTCGCATCTCCTCTCCAACGGAAGGCAGGAAGTCTTGTTACCACACTGAAAATGCGTCTCCAGATTGCAAACTGAAAAAGAACGTGTAGTACTACTGATAACATCTATTCTATTTGCTTCGTGTACTTTATATTTGCATACCTCCATACCCATATTAAATATTGCAAGGCGTTTTCGATATAAAATCAAATGAGCGAATTGCTGAACTCCTTTTATAATAAATTATAAACATAATTTATCATAAAAGTGTCCGTCTCAATCGTGAAAACGAACATTGAATGACTTTTAAAAATAATTTTACATGCTTATAATTCTGCGAATATATATGTCAAAACTGCGATAAAATTTCTTAGAAAAGACTTTTGTATGTTTGTATTTCATTACGACTTGCATATCTTAGCTCGACTATATGGCATTCGTAATTTATATCACTTTTTATTAAATTCCATCAATCGATATCGATTTTAATTCGGAATTGTGCTTTGGCTTTAACGTAGAAAATATGATTGGAGCGATACCGAAGTAAAAACTGGCAAATCGAAGCCTCGCAAATAATAGTAAAGAAGAAAAGCCGATAACAGAAAGTTATAGGTCACTACAAACTAGGGCAATGCGGTATATTTTAACAAGAGACAAATTGCATGTGGATGGACACGACCGGTTTGCAAGATCACTCGCGAGCAATATTTACATTATTTAATTATATTTTTCGTATAATTATATAGTATTTTTTTTAAGCGCATGTAATTCTCCGCTTTTCTTTATAATTATCACGATTACGAATTACAACATAATCCAAACACTTAATTAATATTTCTCACTACAAAACTCATCATTTTCATTAAAAGAAAAGAAAATCCCAGATTTAGAACTTTGTCATTTGGAAAAAGGCTAAATAAAATGCAGCAAAACAATCTCAAAACCCGTAGGTTGTCTCTGAATCTAGATTTATTATTAACATTACGATTTTTTGCAAACATTATGATTCACATCGAAGCTAATCCGCGAAACGTATAGCTTCCGAAAGTACTCATAGTACATGGAAAGCAATCTCAAAACTCATTTGTAATAAAATGTTGTAAAATCCCGTCGTTTCAACTCTCGTATTCTAAAGGGAAACAAATGCATAGATCGTTTCAATTATAATTTTTAATTTATATTTACCGCAATCATACTCGTCCGAATGATCATAGCAATTCATATGCCCGTCGCAACGCTTATCCAAGGGGATGCACAACGTGTTGGAGCAAGTCCATTCGTTCTCCAAACAGAAGAAGCGTTCGACCCTTTCGCATCTTTAATAAAATAAAGAAACGATTATAAATTAAATTGAATGAATGAAATTAATTTAATTAAATCTATACAAACATTATACTTATCATTTACGTAACTATTCTTATATAACTTATATATAAAATAAACTTGTATAAAAATATGTTTTAAAGAATGTCAAATAATAAAAATAATATATATGTCGCACATTTTGTATTTTATAAAATTATAAGATAAGATTATAAAATAAGAACACATAATAATCATATAATAATTACAACAATCACAAAATTAAAAAATAAGAATTACGGTAATTAAATTATTAATATAATATTAGTATAATATTAGTATAGTATTAAAGTATTAATAATGAAAGAACTGTATATAATTATAATAATAAGAATTATTGTTTTCTCTTGAATCACTAACAAAGACACTTTGTCAATGATCGACGCTTAGAAAGAATCCACCGATTGCTATCTACCAATATCTAATATTAGACTGAATCCCGATGCTATCAATAAAAAAAAAACAGACAAACCTGAATGCGTCCATGTCGAGACGATGGCATTTCTGCCTATTCAAGATGCAAAAACCACCGCATCCGGTGGGATCGCTGTGGTCACGGATTTTCCTACATATCGGCACCATTTCGCCGAAGATGGCAACGCACAACTCGCCCTCGAAGCAATCATCGCAATATCTCGTCGCATTAATAACGTTCTGACTCGCAGCTTCCGTTTCCAAGCCTTCGTTTGACGGCGAAGTGCTTCCCGGAAATGACAGATTGCCGCTTATAGGGGCGCTCATGGCAAACATACCCCCGGCAAACGTTTCTTCTATGTCTGTCATCGATGTTAACGTCATCGTATCGGTCATCGCAGTCGTCAGATTTGACTCGTCGTTCGTAGGCGTGATCGGTTCACCGGAAGTAACGTTCTGCCCCGTCAACCTGCTCGTCGACGACTTCAGGTACTGCTGAATAATCTGGAGCTTCTCGGGCTCTGAAAAAAAGGAGGCATGACGTGATCAATCATCGCGACTGAAAAAGCTCGTTACCGCATTCCCGCGACAACGGAAGTGCAGATGAATTAATTAATATATCGTAAAAAAAAAAACGCGATTGAGACATCAACAGATGCAACTATCAGTATTAAAAGAATAAACAATCGTACTGTAACGTGAAAAGAGCCCTCAAAAATCACACAAAAGTACATATCATACCGTGTTTTCTTTCCAATTATTTGAGCCATTGTTTTGTTTTCAAAAATTTTGTCAGGGGGCAAACAAAGCTTAATTGAATTTTCATTAAAAGAACATTCGTGCATTTTTGACATACAAGAAAAACAAATTGAAGAAAATAAAATTATGTACGTTCTCCTTTGTTCTTTTTTTGACTTTTTAATTTTTTTTTTTTTTATTGTACAAAAGAACCGGACTTAATGAACCCATTTATTATTACACAAAAGAGAGAGATAAAATAGAAAAAAGAAATTCGCAAATATAAGGTAGCATTTCCTCGATTTTTCTCGTTAATTTTGAAAAATAAAGAGTTGCGGAAAGCGGAAAATAGAAAAAGAGAATGAAAGCTTCTCTGTTCTCGATCTTGCGCCGTTAGGGGTTGAAGGAATAGCCTGGAAAACTTTCTCTCGAGCCTCCAGACATAATACTGAACGTTCGCGAAATACACGGTCGTTGGCTCTCGCCACTTTTCATCGCACATAGTACTCGCGGCCGCGCTTCAGCGCGATCGACCGTGCGCGCAGGCACGGTCGGAGGAAACGTTCTGTTGACCCCGCGGTTAAATTCATCTCGTTGAAGCAATTGCCACGCTTTGCGTCGAATTAAACCTCGGCCGTCAGCTGGCGGGATGCAGATACTTTTAATTGCCCGAACGATAAGGCGACGGCGCCGGCGATGGCGAGTGTATCGTTTATTCCCAGCTAATATATGATGTCCCGACACGCAAGCCCCTTCGCAGAATAATACCTTCGAACAATAAAGACTTGCAAATTTGTCATCAAGCTCTATATTATCGTAAACTATCAAGGAACTCTATGTCATTGATGTCATTGTAATGACGAAAGATAGTATGTATTAATAACAATGTTCAAAGTAAAACTGTTGTAATATCATAAAAAGTAGATAAAAATTGGAGAGAGAGGCAATGGAATTTCATTGGATTTTCATAATAAAAATGAAAAATCTCTGAAAAACGAAGATATTGCAGAGTAGATCTAAAGTATCTATATTATGCACTTCGACGATACGGAAGTGAATTAATATGCAGTCAGCATGAGCGCGAGATGAATTAAGCTTCTATATGATAGATCAATAAACATTCTGATCGAACGATTAATCTCGAGAATAATATTTCATTCTGACAAACGTATATATATCTATCCAGCGAACTATTTCTTCGTTTCATTAAACCTTCATCGAGTTACTGCTATTACTTTATATAAGCAATAAAACGCGCGCGCAATTCCAGTATGCGTTTTATTTAATCTCTTTTGATAGTTTTTTAAATGAATTAACGACAAAACAAGTAAGGAATAAGCATCTTGCTTGGGATCTTGTGAATAAACTACCGCAAAATGAGATAACTTTGGCCAAAGTCTTTAATGTCTAGGCAGACACATGTCGAAGTCGAAGCGTATAGATGCTTAAAAACGTCTTAAAAAATGTCTTACGTTCTGATTTTGAATATACGTATGTACTATCTAGATACATTTTTTAAATTTCGATCAGTTATCCTATTTTACAATATTCTAAAGATCTCGGTAAATGTCTTTTTCAATGATCTGAAATTAAATAATTCTTAATGTAATGTATTATAAGACCATATGTGTGATAACATAAACTATAGAAATCAAATCCTTAAACGTCTAGCTGGATCTTAAATGCTTGTATGATTCTTGTGTGAATTTATATATTACGTATGTAGTTCCCAAAAACGCGCGCCGAAATGATTTTTCAGTCTTGAGAAAACGCTAACTTTACGAAACTACCGCAGTAATATCATAAGTTAAATTGGCTAGCAATTTAACAAATTTTTGGTGCTTATTCGCATCTTCAAAACGATCTTAATAATGTTGAATCACATATTAAAATCTGTAAATAATTAATTCTTATTGCGAAAAATATTACCTGGATCTTTTGCTACCGAGGCACTGTAGTCTAAAGGCTTAGGACACTCGCACAGAATGCAAGAGATCTGGGTTCGACTCCCGAGGTAATATTTTTCGCAATAAGAATTAATTATTTACAGATTTTAATATGTTATTCAACATTATTAAGATCGTTTCGAAAATGAAAATAAGCATCTTCATCGCTAGCCAATTTAACTCGTAATATTACTAACTTAATAGAGTTAGCGTTTTCTTAAGACCAAAAAATCATTTCGGCGCGCGTTTCTGGGGACTACATACATAGTATATAAATTCACACAACAATCATACAAACATTTAAGACCATCTAGACTGTTTAAAGCTTTGATTTCTATAGTTTAAATAATTCTTATTTAATAAGTGGATATTATAATTAGAAGAAATATTTTCACATTTTAGAAAATTCTGTAAAAATGAACAACAGATCTTCATTATTTACACATTTAACAAAAAAAAAGTTCAGATTGTAAAATAAAAAACATTCACGAAAGAATATACATCGTGAGATACGTTCGAAGACTTCAGATTTTCCACTTAACAAACAATTAAAGAAATAAAATAATAACATCAAGAGTAAATAAAATAAAGATTTATTTACCGAAGACGATGTACAGTGCGACTCCTGCGACCCCCAGCAGGATCAGCACGACGATCAGCAGGGGTATGAGCGGGCTTGAGCATCCGGATGCCTTTAGGGGACGAGCCAGGTGTAACGTCCAACCGCGACGATGCTTATCCAGGCGCGCCGGTTGTGGTGGAGGCTCGTTTCTGACGCTTCGACGTAAATTAGCACGATTTTGCGAGGTAGGGGTGTGCGTCCGTGCCGGCAGGGAATAAGCCCTCTAAAACAAAAAAGAAAACGGAAACGAGAACGTAACGTAACGAATCTTAAAATAGGTTGCGAATTTATACAAGAGATAGCAGAAGATATCTAATTCTAGGAGCGCGTAATTCTATATAGATACGTAAAAAAAAAATGAAAATTAAAAAATAATTTATTGAAAAGAAAAAAGATTGATCTGAAAAGAAAAGGTGTCGTAAAATATAAGTCTTACAGTGTCCGAATATACTTAGAATTAAAAAAAAATAACATTTTCAATTTTGTTACTAAGCGTGATCGATCCTTAAATAGAACAAGTATTATGGAATTATTCGAAATAGATTCCAGTCAGAATTATTTAATTATTCCTTAAATTTCGATTGTATTTTCTAGGGAAAACGAAATAATTTCCAAGAATCCACAAACATTACGAACAGTTCCATAATAAATGCCCCGATCTACTTCTTAGAGTTTCATTAATATAATCGTAGTTGGCATTTTAATTATGTATTAAAGTCACTTAAATTGCGACGAAAGGTACAGAGTTTTGCATGATAAAATTTAAATGAGTAGATTACGTCAGAGGAATTATATCCCTGCGTTTGACCTTCGCTTTTACGATTTTCTGCGTTTAACGAGCTATAATATAAAGCGAAAAGAATATCGGCTTGCAAAAACAACCACTATAATTTAAGAATTGCTGGCCTATTGCAATAATATGCTTTCGTAATTTTTGCTGACACATCGCTCGCTGACGACGACGACGACGAGCGTCGCCATCGCGATCACGCCGGGCTATAGATAGATATCTTCCACTTCCGCTCCGTTTTGTTTCTTTACGTCGGTACAGCGCCAGACGGCGACCGTTTTCTTCTTCTCTCGAGGCTGTCAACTCTCGTGACTCTCGTGTGAGCCGGGAAATCGCGAACGAGCCATCCCGGTGAGCCGCGAATACGTCCTCGCGGTACCAAAACGCGTCTCGGTACAATTTCTTACCGCTTATGTTCTGGTACTTTATTTACCGTCCACCTCTAATCACCCGCTCACGATCTATATTTGATTCCCACATCGTCCAGAACTTTCAATCAAAATATGCACGGATATCCGGTGAATATTCTAGGAAATCCATTAGTCTATCCAAATATGCCGCGACTTTTTATATTTTTTACGTAATCGCGTAACTTACATCGTGATTTGAAATTATTTATTATGAAAAGTTTTTTGCGTAAAAATATTTCATAGCCATAGATTAGATAACATTAAAATAATGCGCATATATATATTAGGTGTTGGAATTAATTCGTAGCGTTTTTAATGAAAGAATGTTATTTATTTCACATGAGCATTAAAAAATACATTAATGAAAGTACTTCCCATCACTTGTAAAACGCTACGAATTAATTCCAACACCTAATATATATATGCGCATTATTTTAATGTTATCTAATCTATGGCTATGAAATATTTTTACGCAAAAAACTTTTCATAATAAATAATTTCAAATCACGATGTAAGTTACGCGATTACGTAAAAAATATAAAAAGTCGCGGCATATTTGGATAGACTAATGGATTTCCTAGAATATTCACCGGATATCCGTGCATATTTTGATTGAAAGTTCTGGACGATGTGGGAATCAAATATAGATCGCGA